AGAATACCATCGCTAAAGCGAATATATGCAATTTGAAAAAGCGCTGATGGTGAACGGTCAAATGATGTGATTACTCACGCAGAAGCATCAGAAGCAACAAAAAGCGTAAAGCGACAGAGCTAACCTTTTGCAATTTGTGCCGCGAAAGCTGCAATTTTTGATTTATCAAAATCAGTGTATAAGTGGCTCAGAATGCCCGCCTTGTCGCTTATGCCAAAAAACTCCAAAAATAACAGCTTAGCATTTCTTATTGGATAAGGCGCCGAACGTAGGCCATCCTCGTCGTCAAATATGTATTGTATCGTCCTTCAATTTAAGAAACAAATTCAATAAATGTAAAATTGTATACGGCGGCGCAAAGCAGAACTCAGCACAAATGCGTGTATGAGGTATCTGATGACAGGACCCAGTATTAAAGAGGGGGGCTGAGTAAAGGGGGCGATGGAAGCGGGGGAGTGGGGGAAGGGGAGGGGGGCGAGGAGAATATTTTATAAAAAGCTTTCCAAGGCTCCATTTCCAGCACTAAAAGAAAAAGATTTTTTGGGAAACAATAAACAGTTTTTCTGTAGTGCTGAACACAACACAGGACCTCTACCTTTACAGCATTTTCTCTTCTTCTGTACATACCTTCTTGCAATCCAATAAGCGCTACCACCATCGCCAATAAGATGCCCCCAGCCGCCAACGCCATGCACGCTTCCGTCCGCTTTCAACAGGCGACAGCTGGAGCCCGTCCCCGCAACCACCACTACACCACCTAAAAAATCTTCCAGTATGAGCTTCAGTCTGGTGCCAGTGTGAGATTATTACGCCACAATCGCCACGAATCATGTTTTTAAGACGCCGGCTGACTAATTGCCCGAAGCAACAGAAAATTCACTCCCTCCTTTCTGTCTTCGCTTCCACTAGCAGCCAATTACCCGGACATAAAAGTGAACACAATCGTGGGAATCATCAAAACCTTAAAAGCAAGCTGAAGAGACCAGGTTTTTATGCGAAAGATCGAAGACACGATAAAACTGAGAGGGAAATAAACTGAAATGAAAAATACTGAAAGCAAGAAAAAAAAAGAAAAACGACGGGCGAGAGGAAAAAGTGAGAAAATTTGGAGGATGTTCCGAAAAGATGAAAATCGAAGAGGAAATTCCACTAGCAAACCCAAGCTACGTTATTACCAAATGTTAAAAAATGTGATATGTGATGCATACCCTTCTGAAACGAGGCTGCGATCGCAATAACTGCATCGGAAGCTAGCAGAAACTCAAAAGCAACATCACCATGCTGATCCTTCAAAAAATCAACAAATCTTTGATTGTGTGCCTCATCTTCGGCTCCCGAAAGGCCCATCCCCTGCAATAAAAGACCTCTCTGACACAAGCAGCAAGAATGCATAACATTGTTTAACGCATGTGCTGAACAACTGGATACTGCTCTAGTAGATGGAGGCAATCTTTCGAGCTCATCCGTTTTAAAAGTGCGCCAGGCAAAAGGCTGCCACATAAAAACAATAGCTCAAGCGCGCTCCCACCTACCAAGTTCACTTTCACGAGGTATCTTCAACCAGTCTGTTAATTACCACGACCGCTCGGACCACAACTTAAAACTCCCGACACTACAGAGATAAAACCATTTCCTAAACACAGTTACGCCAGGACTTGCTCTTAGTTGCCAGCCCTAGAACTCACCCACTGCTGAGACCGGAGGTTTGAAGATGTTGCTCTGGGTCAGCAGCAAATTTCGTGAGCTTTTTTTTAGGGTCCTTTACGACAGGTCATTATTGTTGGAAGACCGCTCACATGTAGGAGCTATAGACGGCTCATATTAATCCTTTTCCGGATCATCAATTAATAACGTATAAGTCACATCCAAGCTTATTCTCGCCTCCGTAACCGATCTCCTTTCTTTCAGCTTCCATTTTTCTTCATTATGTCCCGCAAGTATGGCTGCCTTGCACTGCTTGCACAGCAGTGAAAAGAAATTTGTTTTATTTTGGGTTAGCCTTGAAAAAGGGATATGTTTTGCCTTGGCCTTGTTTTGAAAATGTGCTATGTTTTGTATTGGGTTTGCTTTGAATATGGGCTATGGCTTGTTTTGGCTTTGCTCTGAATGCAAGATGTGTTTTGCTCTGTGTGTGTTTTTGCTGACCCAACTCGCATTGTTGTTACCTATCGTTTCGTTAAAACGCGTTTGTTAATCAGTTTAAATAAAGATTTAATAACCCAAATTTGAGGTGTGGTATTCGCTTCGAGAGAGCAGACGTACTATTCAATTGGATCAAATCAGCAAGAGCCGACGCACTGACTAACATCTAATCGATTTGTTAGTAATCCCGGACCAACTTGGAAGAGGAACGCGTGGCAACTAATATCGATAACAACAATCAGCTCCAGTTTTTTTTTTTTTTTTTTGATTTCGCTCCTCATTTTTCCACACCCACCGCCTACGCGCACCGGCTCGGAAAGTGAGCTGCTCGAATAGTTAATAAACCAGTGATAAATATTAGTTCAATTTTTTTTGCTAAAATGCCGGAAAGAAATCAAGCACCCACAAAATGATTACCACAGCGGCAAGAGGACCAGAAATTCCAATTTCCTTCTTGGCCATTCGAATCCACTTTGCAACTCGATCGGCAGCCTCAAATCCCTGCAAGCAGCAATTCAGCCCCTGCTGCATCGTCCATTCACCACATCGCTTGCCGCTTTCATCCACAAATACAAGGCATGCATGTGTCGCACCCCTGAAACTTATCAGCGTTTGCAAAGAAAAAGGCAGAATATCGGCCAAGTTGTGATCCAGTTTCGAGCAATCGGGAACTCAATGAGAACCGAAACAACGCAGAAACATATTAGTTATGCCAGAAATTTTTCAAAAGCGCATTTAAGGGCAAAAACTTAAAGGCACTTTTCACCAGCCAGTTTTTTTGAGGAAGTTTGTTTGCGGTAAAGAGAAAGTAATTTTTAAAAAAGCAGCACGAACGCGCTGGCATGTTGGGCCAACCCACTGTGAGTAGCGATGTGGATGCGGAAAGCAAGCAATAGTAACCAGTGGAAAAGTAATCGGGCGGAGATCCAGACTATGAATTAGCAGTTGTTTCAAGTATGCTAGGTATCACGGACAGAAATTATAGAAACCACTATTTCCTTGAAAAAAAAAAAAAACAGTGGCAAGTCATATGGTTTTATGGCACCTATCCCTTCCTTCCTAGCACCAGCCGAATGCTAATGAAAAATCTTAATTTTACAAAGAAATGTGTCAGCCTATGCAGTGAAAAAATGCGTTAAAAAAATTTTTGAAAAGCACTCGTTTTACTTTTCCGATAAATTTTTATTTAAAACAATAAAAAGACTGATTGGTGAAGTGCACCAGATAGCTGAGACGGTTATGTGCCCTAGCGTCAAGCTGTCGCAGGCGCACAGCAAGTACTGGTATAATTTGGATCGTCATAAATCCCTTCTAACTTATTCACGAAAAAATGCACTAAACTTCAGATTCACAGCCTGTTTCATCCAGGAAGTTCAGTGCCGCCCAGTATTTGAAAGTGATATTACAAGCCAGCACGCAAGAAGGTTTACAACAAGATTTTAGATCATTTAACTTACACTTCTGTTTTTCAAAGCTTCTTTGAAAAACATGGATTCTTCGAAAAACGACGCTCGAACGGTTGTTTTTCAAAGAACCCATGTTCATTTGCATATACAATTGCGGTTCATTTGCATATACAATTTGGGTTTATAGTGCGCTCAAATTTCAAATAAAAATTACGTTAGTTTCCACATATGTAAAGACAAGCGTATATTTGTTCAGGTTCATGGGCCAGTACACGATTATAAATTTCGCCACAAAATTACAAGCCTGTGTATTTTTTCATATTCCAGTTATGGGTCTGAGCTGAATGCCAAAAGATGACATAGCAGACCTCACACACAGCCGGTAATTAAGTCTTTAAAATTCCGGAACCACAGGCCCTATATTGACACAGCCACGTACGAACGTGATTTAGATATACTGCTTTATTTTTACTTCAACATTTGTGCAAAAGCACAAAAAAAAGCAAAATTTGCCTACCCTTCGATCCCAGCAAATATTTTTGAAGCCTCCATAAAACCTGCAATATTTAAAATTGAAAAACTTTACGAAATTACTATCATGTAAGACGTAATTTGCAAGACATGAATTGTTGGTTTAAATTTCTGTAGAATTTCAAAAGCCACTTTTTCTGAAAACGATTATATCCTAAGGATCTATACAACGCGTTCATAATTTAATAATGTTGTCTCAAAAAACAAGAAGAGTTCACAGCCCGCCAATCGATACAATTTGTCACAGCACATTGGCAGGGAGAAAAGCCAGGGCTGGACAACATTCAGCGGTGATCACTGATAAGAGGTGAATAAAACGAATAACATCCGCGACCTGTTAAAAGGACAGTTGGAAGGACACTGGTATGCTGGGTTGACCTGCTTACTCGAATGTAATGTGTGGTAGGAATGTGCAAAACTCACGTTTATAATCGGTGGAAGCTGGCTGCACAGACCCAAATCTAGGCTATAAAACTACTCGCAACAATCCAGATAAGTCCTCGAAAAAATAACAAAATTTACGATGTACCGTGATAAAGTAAGTCTCTGCAGTGAAAAGAGGGAGTTCCGAGCAGGAATTCGAAAACATCGTATAAATAGCGAACAGGTCAGAAGAGACTGGTGAAAACTGTAAACAATGGCTACCTATCAGCCGGCGAAAAACCTTCCGGAGAAAAACGGAAAAGGAGCCAGGGGCGAGGCACCACCTGTTCAGGAAAGTACCGGCTATAAAGAGGTTCGGAGAAATTTCACAGAGAAGTATAAACTCTTCTCACGTCTCGAAATTTCACCTCTCTTCCCCCTCCCCCTCTCTCTCCCGTCGTCCTTCCCTCCCTCCTCTTCCCTCTCTGTCAGCTTTCCCAACTTCTTTTTCGGTTGATGAAAGCGCCTGTTAAAATGCATTTGCAATTCGTGCCTTTATTTGCCACTGAGCTACGGAATTAAACGATTCCTTACCTCCATCTGCAAGAAAAATCCCGCAATTTTCACCCACTCAGTAACCGGAAGGTGTGGAGAGAGCAGCTTTCCTTCCGACCTACTTTTGCCTTTTCGTAGGCAACTGGTTGACTAGTACGCATGCTCCACTGCAGTAAGATGCAAAACGATTACAAAACCCTGCACAAAACTGGAGAGAGGGCACAACCGCGCAGCGCCATTCAGAAAGCATGCAATGATCCGATACGAAGCAAAACAGTGGAAAATGCAAAGGCTAAAACATTCGGATGCTCCAAAAATTCTTTCCAGCATGCAGAACATCATCCACTGACACAACAGTGATCATCAGGCAGCCCCACACTGAGACAGATGTTGCTGATAAGTAGTTTTGCGCACCAATTTTTTGAGCCACCCATTCCATTCTAATATACCCTCTGGGAGCCTAACTAAAATATACCTGCTTTGAGAAGACCTTGGTATTACGGTCCACCTCATACATCTCGACGACTGTCCCCCTCGCAAAACATTTGTCCGAAAACATCTTGCAGAGAAAGGTAATACAGGTAATGAAAGTAGAAAATCAGTTCCTGTTAGATGCATTTTCTCATTTTCTGGGGGAAAAACGAAAAGATTTTTGCTTATCGTGGCCAAAGGGAACAGTACGCCACGCTGTTACTTCGGCAGTACAGTTTGATTTAGATCGCATCCTACTGTACATGCATCTTTTACCTCTTTTTGTCTCAAATTTATGTTTTTTTGAAAGTATCTTTCACAACTGATTGTTCCTTATACTTCATTTTTTAAATTTTCATAAGTGAATACTCGTTACATGTCATCACACATGAGTGAAACATGTTCCTCAGGAGAGATAGAGAAAGTGGCAGAAAAAAAAGAGGGTACCGTTTTCTGATACAGCAAACGGTTTTCAGAAACAAAATGTGGTAATAATTAGAAATAAATAGCAACGTGCACCAGACTAGCCCGTGCGATCATGCGTTTCGTGCAATTTAGCCCATCGGACGATTGCCTATTAATGATTTTCATTGCTTTGTACTTTATGCAAAAATAGTTCAAACATTGGAAAACAGTTAAAAATTTCGCACACCAGCGCATGAAAGCTGAATTCGAAACCTTGAAGGATGAATATCTTTCCGTGACTCCCGAATTAATAATTTGTCCGCCAAAATTTTCACAAGGCCGTAGGCGGCACCCGAGAGCGTGAGCACGCTGGATTTGAATGGGTAAGGTTGAGCGTGGGCAGGGGGTCATTCCCCTAAAATTTCAGCGTCCTGGACTCCGTGGTCCCCGAGATATTAACTTACCCATGAATAACTTTCACGGGGTCGTACGCGCTATCCGCCGGTACGGGGAAGCTGAATTTAAATTTGCGGGTCACACGGGGTGGGGAACGTTACCATAAATTTTCGGCTTCCTAGCTTTTGTGGTTCTCGATTTGAAAGTTGCGGACAAGTTGCCGCGGACACACAACACACACAAAAACACACACAGGCAATCCCGTGACAATATATGCTGTTACACAGCACAAAACGCATAAAAAGCAACTATATTGACAAGCTGAATAACTTCCTGTAGGATCTTTACAAAAGGCCGTTTAATTCACATCATTATAATTCATCATTTCTGAACAAATACATCCGTGTCTTAATTTCAAGAATACGTATTTTTTCTGGGAACCCTTGAAACAGAAACAGTGGCAGTACTGCCCTTGCTTATTAATTGCCCAACAGTAAGTAGGAGAAATCCAGCCAAATACTGTGGTCAATTTTAAAAGTATTTTCGGAAAGCAAGATGAATTCAATTTTAGCAACAAAAGCACAGCTGCACTATGAGAACGGACCATCCGTGAAGTACAATAATATGAAATCAGCGCAGGCGGTGAATGGAGCATCCCCGGGAACAGCTTGTACTGAGAGAGTCCCAACAACCAAACGGGACCGCACACAAAATCGAACGCAAACCATCCACAGAAACTTATACAATTCAAACCAAACAATCGCTTACACGGAGCACGCCCACCGGCAAATCCCGCCAAACAATGATGCTTTATGACACAGTTTTCGGACTGCACTGTTTGAAGATCCGAAACAAAGATTGGTAATTTCCTAATATTTCACTGGCACAACATTTCCACGAATCTGGTGTCTACTGAGAGTGAGTGAAGCGCCGGGCTCTTCTTTTAATAAAGATGGCGGAGGAAGAAGACGAAAAATCATATGTACAAAAAACAGTCGAAAAGAATTAAGCCACAAACGTAATTTGAGTTCGAAGGGTAATTTGAGTTCGAGGA